TGTTGCGCCTGTAGCTTGGATTGGAGGTGGGGGCCAGCCAGAAGAGCTGCTTTGGTTCACCATGTCTCCCTTTTCCTCTGAGCTCCATTTTACTTGTTTTATTTGTTTAGTCTTTAAGACAAGAGTTCATTAGAAGAAAGGATTCTGTGACTAAAGAAAAATTGGGGAAAGAGCAGGACACACTGATATTGTCTGAATTCTCATTTTATAAATGGAAAAATAGAGAATCAGAGAGGAAAAACTTTTATATCCTAAGGCATGACAGACAGGAGAATAATAATAATTTAGAGAAGGAGAGCTTGGAGAAAAAAGTCTATAGATATAGCGTCACAAGATGCATTACCTCAGGAGTCTATTTGAGAGATTGTGTAATGTCAGGAAAATTCTAGGGACTTGAGCTTCTTCCCTTTGAAAGGGGATGAGTATGAAATGCCAGCCCCTCAGTCTCTCAGAAAAAGAACCTCAGGCTGACGAGCAATGACACTTCCCCTGGCGATGCTGAGCCCCACAGGAAATCTCAGAATTTCTCATCAGGACAAGGCCTCGCAAGAATGTCGCTACACCCAGAGCTTTGTGGTTTGTTGTCACTGTAGAATTTCCTAGGTACAGGGTTCTGAGGGAGATTGCACAGAAAGAGACTGTAGCGAGAACTGCACAGGCCTTCCTAGGACTGCTGGTGAAGGTGTGAGCTCCACTTGTGCCCTGGAGCTTATAAAAGAGTTGTTGTCCCTGTACGGCTTATAGCAGCCCTGAAGCCAACTCCAAGTGAAGCTGTTAAGGATTTCAGAGTCCAGGACGTGGGGAATTTAGATGGTTTGTTTTGTAGTTTTCCAAGACCACCTACTAAAGCCTAAGAACCTGACCCTCAGGGCCTATTCTTTTGAGTAGAGATGTTCCCCCTGGGATCAGTGAGATTGAGTCATATATATATATATTTATTTATAAAATCTGGGGGGCAAGAGGTTAAGAGGGCAATGCCAAAACCCAAAGACCATTACAAAGAAGGATGGTCAGTTTCTGTCTTTGCTTCCTCAGGWGCACGTTCCTCATTTATTTAATTAGGAGGAAAATATCAATGTGTGTCCAAGTTAAATCTTTAGACATTATATTCCCATAATAATGCACTATATTTAATAAGGGACAAGTTTCTGTTGTGTACCAGCCATTCTTCTAGACGGTAGAAGTGTATCATGAAACAAAAAAAGTCCTTCCCTTGTGGATCTTTCTCATTATGGAAGCCAACAAATACCATTTTAGGTAGTGATAAGTGCTACTGAGAGAAATCTGGATAAGGAGACTAGGGAATATGGGGTGGCATGTAATCAAGAGGGTCTTTCAGATAAGGCTGCACTTGAGAAAGCCCTGAAGGAATTGAGGGAGCAAATAAGGGTTGATGGGTATCTGGGGAAGCAGTTTCCTACACAGAGAGAGTAGCAAAGGGCAGACACCTGTCAGAAACATAAACCTGGTAGGCTGGAGGAACAGCACAGAGGCCAGTGTGGCTGGAGCCGAAGCAGTGAGGGGAGAGGTGTCAAAAGTTAGAGACTTAGCCGAGAGCAAGACCATGCATGGCTTTCCCACAGTTRAAAAGCACAGAAATCTGAATGTTTGTATTCTCCCTACTCCCTATCACCAAATTCATATGTTGAAACCTATTCTGTGGTGATGTTAGGAGATAGCACATTGGGGAGGTGATTTGATCATGAGGGTGGAGTCCTTTGAATAGGATTAGTGCCCTTATAAGAAGAGGCCAGGGGAGATCGTTTGCCTTCCCACTATGTGAGGATYCAGTGAGAAGGCACTATCTGAACCAGAAGGCAGGCCCTCACTAGTTCTGAATCATTCTTGGTATTGGACATCCAGCCTTCAGAACTGTAAGCAATAAATTTCTGTTGTTTATAAGCCATTCAGTCTATGGTATTTTGTTTTAGCAGTCCCCAAATGACAGAGCTTTGCCTTTTATGCTTAAGATGGGAAGCCACTGAAGGGCTTTTAAGTGTTAAGAGACGACTGGTCACAGTGGAAAAGGAACTGAAGGGCGAAGAGCAGAAAAAAGGAAACTTCCTAGGAAGCTAAACTTTAAGGTCAGATTCTGGATACATTTTAAGACACAGCTAATAGGTTTTGTTGCTTGGTTGAATGTTGGGTGTGAAAGATTCAAGGATGATGTAAAATGATCTTGTCTAGAGCAGTTGCACAAATGGAGCTGTCATTTACAGAAATGGAGAAGACTGCATTTCACAGAATTTCTGTCTTGACTAATAGTGTCATAAATAAGCTATGGAGATTCAAGGAAGATAAAGGTTAATTTAATCACTGGCTCCTTAATTTTCTTCATTTCCTCTGATAACATTTATATTTGGTAATTCTGGCATTTATTTTTGGGATAAGTATGATCCTGCCATGTATACTTTTAGGGACATTTACCCAGGTCTCTGCATTTCAGTGTGGCTTTCAGAAGAGCTTTGGGGATAAACTTGTCTCTGGGGGCAGTCTTTTCATGGCTTCCTATTAACACAAACTGGTGGTGCAAAGCAACAGAAATTTATTCTCTCACAGTTCTAGAGGCCTGGAGTCCAAAATCAAGATATTATAGGGCCATGCTCCTTCCAAAAGATTTAGGGGACAATCCTTCCTTGCCTCTTCCAGCTTTCTTGTAGATCAGTCACTCCAGTCTCTACCTCCATCAACGTGTGGTGTTCTCTTTCTCTTCATCCCTGCCTTCATGTAAGGACATTAAACATTGGGTTTAGGGTCTTCTGTAATCCAGTATGACCTTGATTTAACTTGGTTGTATGTGCAAAGACCCTCTTTCCAGTAAGGTCATGTTCACAGGTACCAGAAATAAGTTCTGTTTGTGAAATATGGTGCAACCTCCTTTCTTAGGTTTGGGTTTGATTATAAGGATCTTGTGGACTTAGATCTGCTTGAGAATGTGTTAGGAACATTGAAATAGTTGGAAAATGTGTCCCACTGTGCTAGGGCTGCCCCATCTGTTGGAATTAATTTTTTTAAAAGAATTTATGTAAACTAATTAAATATTGATAAGCATCATGTGCATTAATGTTTGAAACTTGAAGACCTTAGGATTTTCAGGTGGTAAAATTCATGAAAATGGAAGACAAAAAGAAGAGAGGTTATGGGACAAACCATTTTAAAAGCTGAGAATTATAAAACCTGAATTTGGCCAGAGGCCTGGCAGTAGGGCACACAGGCCTTGATGATGTTCCAGGTTTATGGTTTTGCCAGATGTGACTGCAAGCTGGTCAGGATTGAATGCAGCAGACTTCAGTTCCTGAGCACTGGCCATGGCAGGGGAAAACCCTGCTTCGTCCGCCAGCTCATCCCTTAACTTTCAGATGTGCTAAAGATGCCCAGGGTGGTGTATGCTGCTCACTCTGGTTGCTGCCCCCCCTCTGTACAATACCCAGTGCGAACATTCTTTAGCAGTGTGTCAGGAGTTATTAAGATGTGCCTCTTTTTAACTCACAAGTCTAAGGGTTGTTTATCAAAGGAAGTTCAAGTTCCCACTCCGCTATCATGATGATAGAACTATATCATGTTTAGCAATGTAATTAAATAAAATTCCTTAGCAACAGTATACATTTGTGGTCACTGAATTGTTATCATAGTCACAGTGAGTTTTATAGAGCCCCTGTTATATTACAAGGAAGTACGCACAAATTGGCAGTAAAGAAATTTTGAAGTTAGGAAGGACAAGCAGGAGTCAGAGTTTCGCACAAAACCAATGAAGATTTGTCTTGCCTGTGACATTTGGCTCCTATAGGCAAAAGCCTCAGAATGTATCATATAATAAACATCTAGACAGAGTGGAAGAAGTTAGAGATGGGGACATGTGCACCAGGCACCCGATAGGTTTGCTGGTAAAGGCAGTGAGGAATAGATTGTTTAGATTTACCCATGTCAGCAGTGGCAACCAGTTTTTAAGCAAGGCCTGCGGAGCCACTTGAAGCCTTCTGCCCCAGCCTTTCCCAGGTTTCCCTAGGTCATTTTTAGGTACTTGGATGAATGAAGAAGGGCTGAGGAGGGCATTGATGGCCCGTGGGCTGCCTGGACCAGACATTACTGGCTCCAGCCTGGCTCAGTCACATGCACTGTGGGAGGGCATAATTTTGAGTATTCCTTCAGAACATGAATCTTATTCCTTCAAAAAAAGAGCCTTCATTTCATGTTTGCTAGGTGGGGATACAGCCACAACTATGTCCTCAAGGGAGGGAGCAGTGTGGTCAAGCCACCATACTTCTGGGGTGAGCACAGGGCAAATAATGTACACACATCATTTCCTTTGACTAATCTTTTGTAATAGTGGTCCAGATGTAGCTTCTAAAAGGAATTAAATTTCTTTGTCTAAGTTGAGACTTTTAATTTAGGACCCAGATGGGGCAGGAGGTAAACTTCCAAAAGGTCTCTGCTTTTGTCGGTGTGTCACTGTCCTGGATTCCTGGCRGCAGCAATTTCATTAGAAAAGCAGATTCCACCCTGACTCATCTGCCTCAGTGAGACTGTGATCTGACTCCCTGCACTCACAGCAGCCTAAGGCCACTGGACAAACCAATGTACACTGTCCCCTCTGTGGCACTGGTGTGCTATGGGCTCCTGGCCTGAGCCATGGAAAACCTTGAGCAGAGACAGTCTGTTAGTGGGCAGGAGCTTTGTCCTGGAATTTCCTGGCCTTTGTCTGGTATAACTTCATGTATCAAGATGCCCATTTTTAAAGCCCACTTCCTTCTGGAAGAATTATTCAGCTGCCTGCCCTCCACAGAGCATTTCTGCTGCTTCTTCCAGGCCACTGCCTCTCCTTGCCCAGGGGTCTACCTGTGGGTGGCAGGAGAYGGGAGCACTGTGGGTACACCTTGCTTCCAGTAGATAGTATGCTCCTGGAACTGATTACAGGAGATGATATAACCTATGGGCATAAAAGCTGCATCTGCCAACCTGGCCTGTTCACCATGATCCTAACCCTTCTTTCTCATATTGCAGCAGAAAAAGTCCTACCTGGAGCGGAGTGTTAAGGAAGCTGAGGACAACATCCGGGAGATGCTGATGGCGCGAAGGGCACAGTAGGAGCCTCTAGGGGGAAGCTTTTCCTCTTGACACCTCCCCTCCTGGCAAGGGTGGAGGGGCCTTTGCAGGGTAACTGCTTCCCTCTCCCTGGATGGACATTTTTATCTGGATGGCTTAGCAACCCCACATTTTCTGTATTGTCTCAAACCCCTTTTAGGTCCCMCCCCTTTAACTTTCCCCTGGCTCTGCCTGCCACTTCTGTCCAGAACACTCTTCCCTCCGCAGGTGAGCCATGAACTCCCAGGAGAGGGAAGATGGGAGCCAGGGCAGATAGGGAAGCACTGCCTGTTCCTACCACTTGGCAAGCTGGTCAGACCAATAAAAAGCTTCTGTCCTACTCTGCTGTCTGCTTTTCTTGAGTCAAGGGATGAGAAAGAAGAGGGGGCAGTGACATCTCCTTCACATTGAAGCCCTTCCCTTGTTGCGGAGTGGAGTCTTGCCCTCTTCCCTCTTCCCTTTTGGTTCTTTGACCCCTGACTTCTGGTCCTGTGTGTAGCACACAGAGAAGGAAGCTTAAGTATGGTTCCTCTGCGGCACTTGGCCTCAAGATTCCTTTCCCTGCTTCCTCCCAAACATTTCAAAAGAAAGTTCAATAGTAATCGGCACCTCTAAGTCCATCTCCTTTGGCCAGTATCTAAGGTGGACACTATGATTCTGAAGCCAGAGAGAGGCTTAGGAGCAGTGATGTGTTGAAGCTGGACCTGCTAAGGAGAAACGGTGCCAATCTTAAGAAACTTTGTTGCAAGCTAGTTGTTAGATACAGTCATTACTAAAATCTAAATTAAGTAAACCTAGAAATTATATATTAAAAACGAGGACAGTAAATATTAAAAACACCCTTTCCTAATACTTCTACATTTGGTCACAACATATGCGCTTGAGGTTAGGAGTATGCTGCATTCTGGGGGTGGGGAGTACTACTTAATAGTGTGCTTCTGAGCCATGGCATTGTGGGGACATTTACATCATAAAACAAAAGAGATGGTTCAAAATATGGCTTTGAACTAACAACTAAATGTATATTGGCACAGTATTACTTCCAATTGCAACAGGCAGGCAGAGGCTGGCAGGGAGCTGTCAGCTGTTGCAGTAGAACTCACTCTGTGGCAGATCAGCGCCACCCCGTGGCCAAAGGTGAGATGAGTGACATGGCTGGGTAGAGGGAAGGGGTGGGTGGGAACAGCAGGAACAATCCACGTGACTGCGGGTTCCTGGGCTTCTAGAGAGCAGGCTTGGGACAGCCCACAGTTACCAAGAGGCTGGCTCCTTTCCTAGACCATGGCAAAAGCAAATCTGAACTGTACTGGTGAATGCTTCTGCCTGAGACTGTCATAGCGGCACCAGGAAGCAGAAGGACACCTGGTCTGGGAGCCTGCCTTCCTCATAACATCCACACTATTGGTGAAGTGGCCAGAATGAAAAATGAAAGCTGCTCCTTACCATGTCCACTAATTAAGTTATCCATATTTTTACCAGCTTTAGTGAGCAGACGAATAGATAGAAGTGGTAATAGAATTCAGGAAGCACAGACCCAAGATACTTAAATTATTTGGAATAATTTAGACAACTGAGGTTTGGACAAATTTATTGAAACTACAGGGTGTTAGCAGAGAAATCATCCAGTGGTATTAAATAAATCTCATCACTACTTTGAATGTATAATTTAAAATTATAAATATATATATTTCATAACTAAGCCTTTGGCCAAAAAAATAAAAGGAGAGTCATTTAGCACATTTGTTAAAGATCAATAAGAAATGGATTTTGAACATTAAAAAGATCAAGTCACTGAATTAAACAGCAGCAACCCTCACTAATCTAGAATCCCATAGTGTGGAAGGTAGAGGTGTCTGCGGAGCTAGTCACTTATCATAGCAATCAGAAGAGACGGGGTGGGCACACCCATCGGAGGTGGTGGCATAGCTGTCAGGGCAGAAGGACTGGGTTGATCAGGTAAGCATGTCCCAGAGGCAGCAGCAACAGAGAGCAGTCCAGCAAGCTGTGAGGCAGGTGGATGGTCCCACGTCATCTCTTCTTTGGTCTTCCACCACATACACTGGAGGGAGAAAGGGAGGGTGAGAATGATCTGGTGCAAACCTTAGACCTTGCAAAGTTAATGTCCCAGGACCAAGGGAGAGCCACAGCTGGCAAAAGCCATTAAACAGCCTTTTTGCTCCTACATGTGCAGTACATGAGGAAGAGTAGCTCATCAACTATTTTTCTTCCTTCAGACTAAGGACACACTCAGTCTCACAGGAATGAGTACTAGGGAGATTACAGAACAGCCCTGTGCCTGGGGAGCCAGAATTGGCAAACCCTAGGTGGTTGATAAGCACCTCACAGGAGTTTGGGGAGGCATTTCATCACTCAAGAGTAAGAGGAGGGGCTGGGGTTGTGACTCAGTGGTGGTACAGCACTTGCCTCCCACACGTTAGACACCGGGTTGGATCCTCAGCACCACATAAAAATAAATAAGTAAAATATTGCCTACGGTCACTGCAGCAGGAAAGCCCCCAGCAGAGAGTCATAAAATAAAAATATGTTTTAAAAAAAATAGGAGGAATAGGAATAAAATCTCCTAAAATGGGGCTTTAAGCCCTGAAAGGATAACCAGGAACCCTGTTTTTTTTGTACCTTGGCAATACACCATTGCAGAAACTAAACTACACTGTGACACAAAGCATTAAAGCAGGCAGGGAGGAAAGTCTGGTCAAGTGGGACAGATGGCTGGAACCACGTGGGGTGGTCTCCTGAGTTTGATACTCTGCTTTCCTCAGAAGGGTGTTAGAAATTGAGTGCTAATCAGATTCACAGGTCAAGAAGGACCCCCCACAACACACACCTTTTACTTGTCAGCTGACTTTGTGTAGGACCTCTTCTAAACGGCTGGTAGTCAATCTGTAGTCACTTTTTAAAAACCTCAAAACAGGCATCATCAAACTCATAAGCAGTTACAAAGTTTTGCAAAGCTTATGAATGTATGAATCTTCTAAAGTAGAGCATTCCTTTTGGCAGTTTTCTTTCAGTTCTATTTCTGTGTTTTGTATCTATTTTTATACCTCTTCTCTTGGCGGCTTCTCTCTGGTGCTGGTGTCGTAGCTAGAATGCGCTGGCTTAGCAGGGAGCTTTCCCAATCCTCCCCTTGTATCAGTGGTCCTCTCCCAGGACCTTCCTCTTCTTGCTTTCATGGCATAGGTTTAACCCATCCATTTTAATTTGGCCTCATTTAGCAACACAGGCAAAGGTGGTCTGGACTGGGAGATAGATGACCCACCTCCACCAGGAAGCCTGGTCATAGGGAGAGGCCGACCTGTTTATTCTGAGGCTTCATAAGGTACATTCCCCAATTTAGTCCTCACAAGAATCCYGAGATAGATAGGTAACATCATTAGTCACTTGGCTGATGAGCACTTTGTTTTAGAGAGGTTGTCTCTTGTTCCAGTAGAGAGGCAACCAGGCAAAGTTAGGGCAGGAGGGTCTGAGTCCAGGCCTTTGAAGCCTAAAGCCTCTGGCAAGCCAGTCCTGCTCAGGCCCAACTGGGAAAAGAAAAGGGACCAGGAAGAACATAGGGGTGACTGGGGCTACAGTGCAGTCCTCTCCCACACCAAGCCAGAGCCCTAACCCGCTGTAGCCTGGGCACTCCAGGCCTACGGTCACTGCGGCAGGAAAGCCCCCAGCAGAGAGTCATCTGCATCTGCCTGGAAGATCTGCCCATGTCCTCAGCCTCCCTGATTCCTGTATGGCAGGGAAACAGAACACAGTGGGCTCCAGAGCCTGTGTAATAACTCCTCTGCCAGTTTTAGAACTAACCTACTTGATTCACGCATAGGCCTTCCCCGAAGGCCAGAGTTCATCCTGCCAAGCCTGTTCTGTGAGAGGTCCTGTTTACTAAGGTGCTCACAAGAGCCAGGACACCAAGGTGAAAGCCTTTCACCTTGCACAACCTAACCCTGAACTGCCCTGGCAATAGGCGCAGGACACCCACCTCTCCAACCCCAAGGACTGGGCTAAGGTGCCAGTTGTGCTTTTCCCTCCTGTCAGAACTACTGAACCTTAGCAACTGAACTGGGGAAACAAAATGTCCTAGTCCTGCTTTATCCATTGCTTTTCTCCTTCAGCTCAGCCAAGGTTATTTTTGCTGGGGTTTATTTCACATCACAGTCTCAGAAACCTGGGGAACTAGGGACTTTGAGTTCATTATTCTCAGACAATGCTGACAGAGGTTAGAAATGGTAGGCAGCTACAGAACCCAGACTTCAAACTGGAGAGCTGTCAACTGTGACAGGTGAGAGCCCAYACAACCCTTAGACTCTTGAGGCATTGGTTTCCCAGAGCCCTTAAGAGTTTTCCCCCTTTAATTAGCTTAGGACAGACCTACCCTGAGCCATCTGGAGGGTGAGGGTGGGTAGAGGGTGGAGTTTGAAGGTAGGAGTGGCCTGTGTTTTCCTTTTCAAGTCACTTAAGGTGGGGTGGGGTGGGGTGTGTGTGACTATCCCAGGAGAAAGCCCTAAGGCGGGCCTCCCAGTTCTTCAAAGCACAGGCTGTGGGGCCCAGAAATGGCAAATCTTCGAATCATATCTTTTTTTGAGCCATCTCACCAGCCCTTGAGACAGATTTTTACAAAGTTGCTTAGTGCCTCACGAAGCTGCTGAGGCTAGCCTCAAACTTGAGATCCTACTGCCCAGACTTGGGAGTTGCTGGGGTTACAGATGTGTACCACTGCACCCAGCCCAAGATGTTTTTTAAGAAGAGAGAAAAGGAAAGGGTCAGCAATGGGTGAATGTAGGAGCAGGCCATGTCCTATAGGCAAGATCAGTGTTTAGTGCTTGGCTTAAGATCTTGGATATCAAGTGCCCCACTGTGGCAAGCCTGGGAACAAAGGCTGGGCTCCAGCCCTGACTTCCTTAAAGTCTTAAAGACTTGACTTCCATTTCCATCACCAAAAAGCTATCCTCTCATTGACTATCCAGTGTCACAGATGACCCTATCAGCCAGTGGTAGGGGCCTGTGCCCTGGTCCCAGGCAGGGACTGAGGGATTCTTATTACCAGGGGACTACAGTTGGACTGACTGGGGTTCATGTCAGGGGTCCTTTCATTGTTTGCCTCTCTTGCCTGCAGTTGCCCTTTTGAACTATCCCTCTGAATTCTCAACCCAGTCCAGTATGGGGCCTGCACAGGAGCTTTGGCAAGTGGATACAAGTGCAAAGGGATGAGGGGCAGGTTAGGAGAACATGCAGGGAACAGGTGTATGAGTATGCAGGTATAACCCAGACGACCAGACTAGGTCATAAAGGGCCAGGATAATCTTGTGTCTTGGGTACAGTACAGTGCAGCTT